AAGACTAAGTAATTACTAAACATGGGCTATATTACTTGGTCTACCAGGTATAGGTCAATTACAGGAAAAGTACCGTAATGAATGTAACACATGTGCATAAAATCTTAGTTAGATTGCATTCATTTCGACAAAACTGTTTATGTGAAATCATTGCAAAAATGTATCCTACATATGAATAAATACTAAAAATGCCTCCTCTGATTCTTACTGAGATGCATACGTCCGTGCAAGATGTCGGAAAATGGCATCAAGGGTTTTGCAGATTAACGCAAACATTTACCAGTGTTCTATGTCACATGTATACAGTAACCACCCCTGGAGTTATTTGGAGAGATATATAAGATAGCCCTGTCTGTACAAAGAATTGAAATCAATCTGGTTATTAACAAAATGTGTGTGACAATATCAGAAAGGGATATACATGTATGACGAGTGTCTCAATATTATCTTAAGTGTGGTTGCTATGGCAACAAATGCCAAGCATTAGGAGGAAATCTAACAAACATAGTGATCAGCACAAAGAAATACCCCCCCCCCCCCCCCGAGAGAAACCGGTTATTCACAATGGCATGGTTACATGTAGGTATTTGTAACATATGAAAAATAGTTAAGACAGACAAAATAAGTGTGAAAACCAGCATTTGGTAATGTAATCGCACTCACACAGCCCTAGATTTACATGACAAACACTGAGCACTATAATAGTGAATATTATCCAATACCCACAATGACAAGATTTGAAAGATAGAATCTATAATAGTTATATAGTGAAAGAGCACTGTCAAACCACGTTTGCATGCTTTTTTTGCCAACAAAAAAGTATGTTTATGCATCATTATTGATAATTCATTCTGAAACATGTTCACATTTAAATTCAATGCGTTATTATTTATTACTGTGAAAATAACTATTTTATGTTTGTAGTGTCAATCAACTGACTGTCAATCTGAAAACAGACATGTATTTGAGTGTTTTTTGTAAAATGATCCTAGCAGATAAAAGATTAGTCGTGATGTCACACGGATAAATGGATTTAGTATTAGTGATGTCACAGGTACAGCTGCTATTAAGGAATTTACATTTAATCTCTGTCATCACAGCATTTAACAAATCCCAGTCTACAGCATCACAGTGTCTGCTATTAGTTTCTGCATTCTATTAAACCTCCACGCACAATTAATGTGAACTACTTAAAAAGGATATTACATACACATGCAAAACCAATTAAACTCAATGATATCAAAAATAATGCAACTAGTTTTCAAAAACATCACAGCCATATAAAATGTACCAAATTCACACATCAGTAAACTCTCAGGATGTAAAGCTTGCTTGTTCTGCTTTGATATTAAATAACAGTGTTTGAAATACGAGGCATGTAGTCTGCATGCCTCAGGCATGAATACAAATGAAAGCTGAATGCTATGTGTGAAAAAGGAAATCTGGATACTGAAAAAAAAATAAAATAAAACGGGTGGTTTGGGCAAGACAATATAAATTTTTTAACAAGAGTACAGCTTTAGTGTATTTTTCATACTTGAATTCAGCATCTAAAAACAAGTTACACCCTTTGGTACCCTATATTCAAATCAGTATAATTTTACTGTTTTTGTTGTTGTTGATTTCATTGTCACTGGCTCATATTGCTAGTGTAGGAGAAAATGTAAAATTGCAGGAAAAATTGCTGCAACATTGATGTTAATTTAACATTTATTAGATCGAAAAAGTACACACTACTAAGTTTTGCTGTGATGCAAAAGTAGCAAATTAATAAAAAAAGGTCAATACATCATCATGCAATCATCATCATGCATAATATGTAAATGTACTTTCACAACAATTACCATAACAGATGACAGTGTCAGGGTTGCTGCATTCTAAACATAGCAAATTCTAGAGGCCTCCATGTAAAAGTCACTCAATTTCATAACATGCATTTTTTTTAACCTTAAACCAGTTTCAATTCATTGTCGTATCAAAGCATACATCACAATCTGCTTGTAGTTATGTTTTACTGGGATATGGGAACATCTTTGTCTGATCAAAACACAGCGAACATTTACATCCAGTGTCATTACTTTGCAGCATCAGACATGTGGATTACATATGTAGCGACTGATGTAAAGGACATGTAAATTAAAATTTGAGTTAATGGCATTTTTTTTAAATAATGGAATCCATACTTATGTAGTGATTATATTGGCTTAAACTTTTTTTTTAATTTCCTATATGTATGGCGTGCATATCAGGTTTCAGGTCTATATGCACAGACAGAAAAACAACATGCACAATACAGTATGCACCAAAATATTTCAAACCCTTGATACATGTATGCTCAAAAGGGTATTTCATTTTATTCTATTTCACTATAAACTATGTTTGGATTTCACCAGAGATTGGAATAAGATTCTAGTAGAGCAAAAATTATTTACCATGAATTGATCTACATAGGGGCATCAGAGGTAATTGACTTGATGCCCAACCAGTTAGCCTTGGTACTCTCAGTATCTCTGATATTATACTTATAAAGACAATCAATTTTGACATTGAAAATAGGTGACCTATAAACTCAAGTTCAAGCCCTATTTTATCATAGCATTATCAATACCAGTGAATTTACTGACACCAAATTATTGAGCATATGAATACAGTACTATATTAGGAAACGAATAAACCAGGGGATATTTAAAACGAACATTAGTATTGGTTAACAAGAGTTTAATAATAAAACCGGTGTCAAGAGATGCATTTTGAAACAGATTTCAATATTGAAACCAGACAATTTTTGACTAGTGTGCTCTGCATGTTATAAAGCAGGTACAATGGGTGTGTTCTGTCCATTTTGCAGGTTCTAGATTATGCGACTGATGCAGCTGGCATTGACAATGCTACAAAATAATAATCAAATCTTTCCAAACCCATAATTTTTTATTCTTGTCACTCTAATTTAACCGTCAAAGTGGGAGGCCTAAAATAAAAATAAATAAAATGGTGAAAGATTACAATCAATCAAAAAAATGTTCACACAATGACAAAAAAATATTTTTTTTAATGATGTTGGTAACGAAAAGTATATTCTGAAAAAAGTTTGAAATAAAAACAAACACGAATGAAATGCTTAGTAACAAATGATCATGGTAGTACAATCCGCAAGTGTTACGATCTATTATACCTTAAAAACCCTCAAATAAGAGCCACTTTGTAACACTTTCATTTCTGGGTGGTGCTTATTTGAGGTAACATTTTGACAACTTTGTAGCCAGTGGCTCTTAAACCAGGGTGATCAAACTTTTTCATTGTGAAATGGGGAAGGGATAGGCAAACACACACACAACCAAAATAATTATTAATGATGTATCATTGCAATTAATTTATTCTGTAAAAATACTGTTATGGGAATAACAAATGTCAAATAAATAAGAACGGCTGCTCGCTGACCATGCTGC